TGGAGAAATTAGATTACCAACACGCTGCAGACCCATTTGGGCGTTCCAAAGGGCCTCAGAAGAAAGTAGAACGTCCGAGAGAATACAAATGAGGCGATGACCTGGAACATGAAAAGAGGGCCAACGAAATCCAATGGGTTCTCTCCGTACCAAATGCCTCTGGAGAAAAGATTCAGCGGACCCGGCAAGCAAAGAGTAGGTAAATGTTCCGTCCGGTTTTGCCATTGCAAGGAAGCCGTGCCGTTGTGGAGTTCGACCATTTTCTTGAGAAAATTTCGAACCCCACCGACGGCCCCTGCATCAACCGACGAAACGTCTCGAGAAACTTATAACAATGAAAACCCCAAGAACAGCCATCCTTCCTCCTGTCTTGTTTTGGAGGGCACCTGACAGTTGGTTGAAACTGCATTCTTCCTGTCCTGGACTGTTTCCGGCGTAACTGTATTCTCGTTGTCGTGTCTGAACTGTTTAACGGTTTTCGATTGTTTAAAAATGGAGTGAGTCAAAGAATTTTTGTTGTGTTTGGTTGGTTATCTAGTTTGTTTGACTCAGATCCGTTTTTATCCGAGTTTGTTATAGCACCGAAATAGCCTCAACATAATCTGGGTAAATTGACGAAGGAAAAAGTGAAATTAGTGCGTTATGGGATTGACCCATCCGTCATGGATGACGATTAATCAGGAATTATCTTATAATTACTTTTAGTTAGGATGCTATGGGTTTGGTATTTAAAATGTTATTTAAATATTTGAAATAAATTATATATATTTATTTAAAATTATATTATTATTATTTTTTAAAATAATTTATTTATATATAAATTTTATATATTACATTTATATAAATTTTTTATTTTTTATTTTTTATTTTTTATAATTAAAATTTTATATAAATATAATATATAAATTGATTATTACTTTTGATTAAAATATTTGACGATCCGTCCAGAATAACTAATTATTTTTGCACAGATTCGAAATTCTAATCCGTCTAAAGTAAATCTGTCGAGAATAACATGTCAAAGGTTATGCCGTCGTGGTCTACGTGGGCAGCAATTACTACTTTACTAGGCCTGATCCGGTCCAAGAATACTATTAACCCATTGACAAAAAAAAGTTAATATTGTTTGGAAGTGTTGTATTACTATTATTATTATTATTACATGGCATTGTTATTGTACTTGCAGATATTTTATCTTTTATTATTTTAATATTAATTCT